TAATACATGTTTCAACACTGAAAAAAATAATTAGTGAAAGTCACTGGGAAGACTAGTAAATTTACTGTCCATACAATCACTACCTTAAAAGTAGTTTTACTGGGAATTGGGTAGATTTACTAGATAACATTAGTAAATCTAAGCATTTATTAGTAACTTTCACTAGGTATTTTAGTATCTTTACGACCACTACACCACTTTTCACTATCTTAGCTAGTAAACAGGATGATTACTTATCACTGTCCATACAATCACTACCTTAAAAGTAGTTTAACTAGGTAATTCTCTAAGTGAAGTTCATTACAATGTTTATAAGTATAGAATGTAATTTAATTATAAAATTGGGGTGGTGGGGTGGGCATGCCCCTTCGTTTGAGAGAATTATTATACAATTATTATACAATTTACCTGTGTAATAATTTCAAATAATTCCACACGTAACATTCAGAAACCTAGTTTTTTGACTGATTCATAAACCTGTTCTTGCAAAAAAAATCTTAACCTCTCCCGTCCCTTCCCGTGACAATTTGTATGTATGTACCTTGTTTTTCCTTCTAAAAACAATACTTAAACTGACTCCGCATTGTCAGTTCCTCCATAAATTGCAACAAAGTTGTAAGGGGTTATATAAATGAGTTATATTTAAGGAATAACTGTCTTATTTTTTGAATTCATGAAGTGATCAATGGATTGGCTTGTGTGGTAATTTGCATAAACGCCGAAGGCGTTTATGCATAAAATTATCACACAAGCCAATCCATTGATCATCTTCATGAATTCGAAAAATTTGACAGTTATTTCTTATATTTACATGCTTTGATTCGGCCAATCCACGGGCTCCAAGCCTGCTTCTCTCTAGGTGTGTCCCGCCTTGCACGTGGTTTTTTTTTCGAACCGCGCCAAAACATTCACGAGGAAATCAATTACATTTACATTTGGTAATTTTATCTCAGACAAAGACATTGGAAATGTAAATATAAATAGATAATATATATAAGCGCATACGAATAAACAGATGAATAAGTATTCATTTTCTGGCTTGCACTTGCATTTTGTCTTATTACGACTTGCTTTCCTTATTTTACTCCAGCAATTGCATTTTAGTGTCATTGTTCAAAAAAGTTGTGTGAAATCATATTCCGATTTTTCTTTCGTCGACTTGAAAACAGACAGCGGTAAATAAATTTCATTTGCATTTTCATTGCAATTGCATTTTAGTGTCATTGTTCAAAAAAGTTGTGTGAAATCATATTCCGAATTTTCTTTCGTCGACTTGAAAACAGACAGCGGTAAATAAATTTCAATTGACAACATTATAATGTAATTGCATAAAAGGCAGTCCGATTAAAATCAAACCTTCACAAGCTCCTTTTTATTTTGTTTGTCGCGTGAAGGGTGGTGTCTTCTATAAATATTTACAAAAACATTTGGACAAGTAATAAAGTATATTCTGACATTGACTGGGGGTATCTTCACCCGTCAAAAACACTGAACGTAGTTTTGATTTTTTAATGCTTGTCAAATTAACTGGGAATTTAATGAAATGGTCTCTAAACATCATCGAAAAACTCATTCAGTCATACAGTGGTTTAAAAGTAAATATTTCCATTTCTAACTTTTCTCTCTGTGATAACTCTTTGAGAGCTAGCGGAGTTAATTTCTTGATAATTCTACCGGAATTTAAATGGTAGGTCAATATGTCAGGAGCTAAGGAGGCCTAATATGCATGCAAATCTTGTGCACATCTGTCTCGGAGCCTGACGCTAAGGATGCCAAATATGCATGAAAATCTTGTGTGGCTGCCTTTGTGTTTGATGTCAGTGGGAGAGGGCTTTGGAAATTGGGACGGGAATCATCGTGTAAATTAAATCCATGTCTGTATTTTTAAGGTCTAAATCTACAATTTTATTTCACAATGAAATGGAAATATAAGAAATCACTGTCTAGTTAGGAGGGTATATCAAGGACATCAACAATAGTGGGAAACATGGGATAATTTAAGCATAACGGGCTTCATTCAAAAACATGACAAAATTGATGGAAGCGTGTTGTTTTGCGACTTTGCTTCAGGAAGTCTTAGAGCTAGCATCAAGAAGCTCTAAGGTGAGGACTTTGTGTCCAGGTACAGACTTTGTATTCGTGGACGACATTATTTGCCGGTACTGAAGAGGTCCAGACACTTAGGGAGAACTCTTGCTAAGCTTTGGTTCGAAGCTTCCCTAAGCCGGGGGGGGGGGGGGGGGGGGTACAAATTATATGCAACATATAATGCCTTGCTACATGTAGGTTTTCAGCAACGGCGAGCCTGTGTAACCTTTGGATGGGTGACCGCTTCACGTCATAATTATAAATACATGTGCAATGTACATTATTTTAGAAGCATAATAACAGACCCGACTACCACAAATACTAAATACAAATTATATGTGATTGTCAAAAGGACAGGGGATGACATATCAGTCGTCGTTGGGAATATTTTCTCTTTCATACATGTAAGATAAATATATTTGTCTGTTCTTTGTTTTCAAAAAAATATGTAACCTTATTCAGCTTCATATCAATAATGAGTATATACTATTAAAAAGCAGGGACGTGGTATCACTTTTTCTCCCGACATTACCTTTACTATAGAAAATGTTCACTCAAAGTAAGGTTGGACCCTCCACACTTCAGCACAGTACAGTGTTATAAAGAAAATTTACCCTAAAAACTTCGAATTAAAAGGTAGTTGGTCTTGAAAAAGTTAGCCACCCCCATACCCCACGCCACCCCACCCCCACCCAACCCACAAAATAGGATTTTCGACTTTGAGCAACTTTTAATTTCTCGTTTTTTTTTTTGTTTTTTTTTGCTTTTTGTTTTTTTTTTTTTTTTTTTTTGCTCGTCAACTTTTTCAGGTAAGAAAAAAAAATTCTCAGGTTGCCCCCCCCCCCCACTTTCGAAAACGATGCTGCGTGCCTGAAAAATACTATACTGTAGTATTAAAACCGAAACAAAGTAATGCATAGATAATGTCTTAGCTAAATCAAAAATAAATCTTTAATAGGAAAAAATATCAAGGAAAATGCTGGCATATAAAAACTCCTTAAAATCTCCTTAATTCACCCAAGGTTATTGTAAAAATCAATTCATATAAAGAAAAAAATGAAAGGTTTAATTTAGAACATATTAAATAAAAAAGGGGATAAGTAAAAAATAAACTTAAATATGAATTTATTTAAGCGAATATATTTATTAGGTTGAGAAATGTACAATTCTTTACGCTGTATAGGAATCATTACGCTAAATTTGATAACGCCATGTGAACGTTACGACGTCATGATGTCGTCAGTGTTATTTTCTTAAGAAAACATTGCATTTTTAGTGAGTTGTGTAGGGAAAACGGTTTGAGATATTTTCAAAAAATAAATTGATTTAGAACAGGGGTATCCAAGACACATAATTTAAATATTATCGCCAGATTTTGGGACTAGGCGGATTTTGGTGCCTAACGTACCTTCTTTTTAGTTGAATTTTCGCCTTTATTTAGACTAAACCTTAGGTTTAAATACTTATACAGCCCCAAAAGGTTTGTTTTAATTAATTTATAAGTTATTTTCAGTGCAAACCCGTTTGTATCCTTCAAAATCATTTCGGAGTGATTCTGCAATTTTTTGCTACATTGCAAATATATGGGTGGTATTCTAATTGGGGTGAGGGCTTGTCCCGAGACACAGTTACATTATTCTAACTATGCTCACCCCAATGATCTCACCATAAAATATATCACCTACTTTTTGTATTATCTCAACATGCTCAATATCTGCATTTTGTGGCCAAAAGACAGAACATCGCAACATAATGAATACCTCATTTTTTTTATACAGTCATGCTTATGATTAGCTGCAGAACTGTAGCTCTCCAAACAAAAATGTATTGATAGACTGTAGAGCTACAGTGCCACCCATTGAAAAAAAACTGTATATTTATTGCACAAAAAAAGCATTCTTGGTTCTTGATTATTTCTTCCAAATTCTTACGTCAATTGAAAAAAAAGGGAAGATTTCAAATAATTCCTTTCTCCTCTATCAAGTACTCTCGAAGTTGACATCTGAACGAAGCATATTTGACTGAATTATCTTTGAAACCAAAATGGCAGTGTAAATAAGAGAAATGTTCGATGATTACAATATCAGGGTTAGGAGGACTATTATCAACAATATTATGAGGAATGTTTTGTTGCGGAAAGAGTCAAAGAATATGTTATGAACACATGGTTAGTAATATTTTGAGATTACAGTTTTAAAATCATGGAGAAATAAATCGAAAACTGAGCACACTTTTTAGGGCGCAATAAATATACAGTTTTTTGAATGGATGGCACTGTAGCTCTCCAGTCTATCAATATATATTTTTTTCGGAGAGCTACAGATCTACAGCTACATGTAGCTTATGATGAATATGACAAATCTTGCCAAAAAAATGAACCATTGTGTACACAGATTGCGTTTTCTTTAGGGGTGAAACGGTTCACCGCGGTATCGGTTCACCGCGGTATTTTTTCTCGGTTCGATACACGGTACAAAATCTCTACTTTCGGTTCGGTTCGTTTTTTGGTCGGGATCGTCATTCAGTCGGGTTTGGCATAAGGTATAAACATGCTTCTCTGTGTAATTAGTTCAAAAACGTAAATTTTTGTGGACTTAAAGTTTGTAAAATGATTTTTAACAGTCAAATCAATTAAGGTGATTTATTCTATCCAGTTTGCACATTAATTCTTTGACTAGATTAAATAAAAGGAAGGATAAAACAACAGTTAAATTTGTTTCCTTCTATCAAAATGTATCGTATCGAAAATAACCGAACCGAGATCAAATTTTTCGATACGTATCGAACCGTGAAGGAGGCGTATCGTTTCACCCCTAGTTTTCTTCTCTAGTATCATTTACAAAGACGAAGAATTCCTTGTGGAAGTGAATAATTGTTTAGAAAGATCATAAATAAAGGCCAGTATCACATACCACACGGCTAGGTTTTGTGCTTAACCAATAATTTTCAAAAATCCAGTTTCGCTTTGTGCTTTTCCATCACCGGAAGTACATCGTTGCAATATTAGTAACTCGTACATTTTAATATTCTAGATTAATTGAATTTTCTCCTGCGCAAACGATATTTCCAAATGTGAAGAAGACCCTGTGATTTATATTTTTTTCGATTTATTTTCAGAAATAATGACAATATATTCGGTCCTACTAAACAGAGTACGCTAGTACGATAGAGTACTTTAGAGTTTAGTATTTTATAATTTAATGCAATTAAACTTCTTTTTGTATGTTTTTCTACTTCAGTTTAACATATTGAATATATATTTTAGATAAAACTTATATGTTTTCTTTATTTTAGGAGTTATTTCAATTTTTAATTTCAGGTTACGGTTAAAATCGTTTGATCCCGATCTAATTTAACTTAAACATGTTGAAATAACTCATATTGTGAAGGTGTAAAATATTTACACATGCAATTAAATAATGTTTAATCAAGTTGTACATACATAAATAAATAATTTAATTGCATTTAATATCATAATTTTTCTAGCGTACTCTAAAGTACTCTATCGTACTCTAGCGTACTCTGTTTAGTAGTACCCCAATATATTATGCAGCCAGACAGAGATAAATTTATACGAATTATTCTACGTCACGCTTAGCTAGAATTTGTGTCTGCTTTTTAAATCTCGAATTTACTCAACTTTGTTTACAAAACAGATGGTCTGGTAATTTACATTGGAACTCATTTATCATCCCGTTTATAGGTATTTTCCTTAAGAAATAACATAAATATAATATTTTTATATCGCATGTGCTTATATTTGTTGGTTAAACGTTTTGTTTGAACTTTGAAGATATGCCAGTGGTATATACATGTACCATACATGTGTTTATTTTACTAGGGCAATTAAAAACAAAAAGAATGTCGCATCAGTAACTAAGCTATTGCATATGATTACAAAAAATAAAGAAATGAATGAACGAATGAATCAATCCATCCATCCATCCATAAATAAATAAATAAACAAACACACTGATAAATAAATAAATATAAATAAATGAATAAATTAGCAATGACAGGCATGCGCGAGTTATGGCACTTTCCTATTCTGCTCCATGCTAAATAGGTCATGTTTATAAGTGAATTAACAGCTTAAATTTCTGTGCATACTTTAATTTCTTGATTCAGATTAAAAGTTAAAAGACCATTTTGGATAATACATACATCGATTCCTGACAAAAGTGCGTAAAAAAATGCATAACACGAGATACTCGCACGGTTATATAGATAACAAAGACGTAATGGCGGCCATTATGTGAGAAAACCCTGATGTTATAAATAGGCATTATAATGCTTAATCACTTGATATTAGACAGTCATATGAATGTTTTACGAAGGCTGAAAGATAGAGATTTCTAAAAACATCTTGGGTACGTAGATCAAGTCCCATAAATAGAAATTTAAAGCGAAAGTAGATGACATATCGTGTTCAACTTCGTTTCTTTCGTTAATTTGCCGTTTTGACAATACTTTGACAGCAATAAACAGAAGGAGAAATCATTTTTCTTTCATTTGGTATATAGTTTCTTAAAATAAATCGTTGCGCATAGGTGCGCAATGAGCTTTAACCAGTTATGCTTGACAAAAACGTCGACATTTTTAACAGGGGCAGATAACTGAAATTCCCGCGCAACATCGGAGATTCTGAGAAGGCATTATTTCTAAGTTGTATATTTGTTGATCAATGTCAATCTCAAGCTGTTATATTCTTACAATGCTAATAAAAATAATAAAAAGTAAATAAAATGCATGATTTTAATGAATCAGATCTATGAACTTTGATTAGTATCACTGCATTCTACAACTTTAGGATACCATTAAGTCCATTTGCAGTAATTGGTGTAATGTATGGATAATTATAATTATTATAATAGATCTATATGTTTTCATTTTTTTAAATTCATATATTTCTTTTAAACAATTTTTATAGCAGAATATCAAGTGATTGAACAGATTAAGAGGACCTCGAGTTCATACTTGGAATTTTTTTTTCAGGAATTTTTTTTTATCAGATTTATACACATGTACCAGTATATCGTACAGCTAGATTAGCATTATTTTAAAATTTGAATTGCTCAAAATAAAAACAATGAATGCTAATACTTTTGAAGTGTTGTTTAAATATTAGATTTATATTTTAATCAAATTGTTTCAACAAAAAAGAAATAAAAATATTCTAACAATATTATTTTGCAATATTTAATAATACATGCATTTTTATAACAACATATTTAAAGATATAATAATTTAAAATCCATGAGTATGTAAACAAAATATAAATAATATTCTTTGCTGATGTGTACTTCATTAAAAGTACTCATGTTCTATCTTAATTACTAAGTGCCTGGTTTCCCTATTTGGTATAACATTAAGTATAATTCCGAAGATCCTACAATTTATACTTATAAACTGAAAAATGATCTGGAATCAGGGGCTTGAAAACAAAAGTTTAATAGATTTTGCATTTGATTCTCAGAGTAAAATCAGCAGTAAATGCTGTCATTATTTAAAATTGTTTAAAATGAATATCAATTTACATTTCTTCAAGTGTTATTATTATTTTTTTTTACAACCGAAAAATTGGCAGAAAACACGAAATGCTACTGAATTTCAAATACTTATATCTTTTTTGTACATTGACCAATCTGAATAACCTTTACACCATTGAAATCCTTGTAAACTGACCTTTCTTTTGATGTAAAAGAAGTGTGGTTTCAAAATTATTTTAAAAATTGCCTGTTATTGCTAAATAAATAAATAATTAATTGATATACAGTCCTATACACCAATCAACTGAAAAGCAGCAATAATACATCTTACACTTTACATTATCTTTTGTTCTCTTTTAAGCCCCTTTTTTTCTTGTTAATAGCTAGGTGAAGGAAAGAAGCATCAGTTGAGAGGAACTATTAACCATTTTCCAGTAGCTCGATTTTTCACAAGGATTCTGTCAGATATAGACATGTTTTGAAATGAATAAACAGTGTCATCTTAAGATGCTGAGCTGTATCACTTTTCGTAAAATTAAAAACATATCCCTCTGTCTCATGATGGCTGCCCTGGTCGCAAATCTGATGGGACTTCTGTCTAAAATTTGGACTTCACGCAAAGTAGAGGAACATTCCTACCGTGAGAGCAAATACAAACTTCCATACCCAAAGACTCCACATTTAGTCCTGGGAAATGACGTCATAAAAGACAGAAAAATCTTAATAATTGGTGACGTACATGGCTGTCTAGAAGAGTTGAAGGAATTGTTGGAGGAAGCGAAATCAAGGTGCGCGGATCAAGAGATCCTTCCTGTGTTTGTAGGTGATCTTCTTTCTAAAGGACCATTTCCGGTGGAGACTGTCAGAAAACTCCAAACTATGGACCATTTTGCGGTGCGTGGAAACCATGACGAAGCAGTGCTTAGACAAGCTTTACTCTACAAAAGTACAGAAAATTACGAACTTCCAAAGAAGTATGAATGGGTGCCGAAGCTCTCTGAAAAAGATATCACATATCTTCAGGAACTTCCATATACAATTTCCATTCCGAGTATAAATGTGATAATTGTTCATGCGGGATTGATTCCAGGAGTTGATCTCTTTAAACAGAATTTGACTAACATGATCATTATGCGAAACATTGTAAAATCTCCCAATGGTTCTCTGACTCCAGCAGAATTAACAAACGAAGGAGAGGCTTGGGCCTCACTTTGGCCTGGCCCAGATCACGTGTATTTTGGCCATGATGCCATAAGGCGTTTACAGGAGCATGCGCATGCAACGGGCCTAGATACTGGCTGTGTGTATGGGAACGAACTAACTGGTGCTTTGGTCTCCAAGGACAGAAGAGAATTCATTCACATCAAAGCCAAAAAAGTTTACAAACAACCTGACATATGATAGACTGGGAAAACCACACAGATAGTGCTTCTTATTATTAACCTTTGTACAAGTTCATTCTCAGATTGTATTTTTGAGATATTTTAGGGAGCCTTTTAATTAGATTGTTTCCATAGTACAGTCAGGGGTGTGACTGAAATCCATCATTTTTAAAAATGATGGATAATGGTCATTTCTTCTAAGTATATAATGTACACAATTTTCTGATTTTTGTAAATATGACGTCTTTTCATCATATTTCCATTCTCAAGTCAATTTTCCCATCCCATTTACTACAGTAATTAGATATAGTACACTATCCTGCCATAGACCCTTGTGAAGAGAAACATCTTGACAAGTAATTGAAACCAAAATAATTTAGTGCGCCCCGTAAAACTAATGAGATAATTAAGTGCGCCCAGACCTAACAATTTGATAAAAAATGATGAAAAACAGTCATTTTTAATATCAGAGATAACTCTATTTCTAAAATAAATTTCAAAATAGAAATGACTGTTTTTCATCATTTTACTAAAAAAAGATGAATTTCCATCATTATTAAAAATCAATTTAATGACTGAAAATCATCATTTTTAAAAATGATGGATTTCAATCACACCCCTGACTGTAGTATGCAATTTGCAAATATCGTGACATGTATTTCTAAATGTTCTTTAAAAATGTTTCCATATACTAGTATTCTTTGTGTGTTTATTGAAAGACGAATCAAATTAATATTACAATGTATTATGTTTTTCTAATGAACCATGATAACGTTTACAAGTGTATTCAGAAGAGGCGAAATTTGCTTTGGTGACTGGTTTTCCAAGTAACTGAGTCACCATATTTCACTTTATAGAGTTAGTATAATACTGTTTATATTCATTTTAAAGGAAATATTTTGTGGGGTGCGAACATTGGCTTTTTTTAGTGTATTTGTTGTAGTCCGCTAAATAAAATAATATAAATCAAGGTTTGTATCCATGCTTAAAGGTACTGATCGAATTCAAGAAAGATAAATGATCAGCCAGTTGTTAAACGTTATTTATAATTATCGTATTTAACTTTATTTTTTTCTTACATAAACAGTTATTCAAAATTATGATCAATCAAATTAAATTTATGGGAAATACTGTTTAAAACTATGTTTGTAAAAAAAAAAAATTAAAAATACAAGGATTTTCATCATTTTTTTGATCTGATCTGAACTCCTTGTAATGTATGCTGGTATATTTTGTGTAAGAACGTCTTGTGGTACTATGATTTTAAAATGAGAATATCGCTGAAAATTAATTGAGTAAGGTAGATTGTAGACTTTTTCAATAATTATGTACGTTGCATCTGTCCTTAAAAAATATTTGGTTGCCCTCTCCCGACCGACCGGTTAAAAAATAGCCCGACTTAAAACTTTTTTTAACCTCCATGAGGCAATTATTTTTTAATGTGCTTCGGAAAATTAATTAGGAAAATTCAGCATTGATGTTGAAATTTTTCTAGAAGAAAAATATTCTTACCTACCTACCGGCCAATTTTTTTTTTTCATCGTGAGTCTGAAGAGGACAAACACACATTGTTTTAAACTTGGTCTGATAAAAAGGGGTAAAAAATTTTTTTTATAAATATACCCCAAAACCTCGTGTCAAAATATTTGTACATTTTTAGGTCACCTGAGTAAACTCAGGTGACCTATTGCTATCTGTTTTCGTCCGTCGTCATGCATCGTGCGTTATCCGTTAACATTTGAACATTTTCAGTTTCTTCTCTGCAACCACTGAACCAATTTCAACCAAATTTGGCACAAAGCATCTATGAGTGAAGGGGAACAAAAATTGTGAATTTCATGATCCCTGCCCCCCTGGGGTCTGAGAGGTGGGGCCAAAACCACTAAAATTAATGCAATCTTTAAAAATCTTCTTCTTTACTCCTGGACATCAAGCAGTCAAACTGTTTGCATGATTGTAACAAGCTTTGAGATCTCTACAAAAATTATAAAATTCATGGACCTGGGGTCAGGGGTTCTAGTGCTAGGGTGGGGCTTAATAAGTAGGTAGTGAAAATGCATTATTTCTTTGAAAATCTTCTTCTCTGCTCCTGGGTGTTAAATAAACCAACTAAGTACATAGTTATGATGAGCAAGAGTGCCTCTACCGAAATTGTGAATTTTATGGCCCCAGGGTCAGGGGTTCTGGTGTTAGGGCGGGGCTCTATTGATTATATAGTGAAAATACATGAATTCTTTGAAAATATTCTTCTCTGCTCCTTGGTATTAAATAAACTAACTAAGTACATAGTTATGATGAGCAAGAGTGCCTCTACCAAAATTGTGAATTTTATGGCCCCAGGGTCAGGGGTTCTTGTATTAGGATTGGGCTCTAATGATTATATAGTGAAATGCATGATTTCTTTGAACATCTTATCCTTTGCTCCTGGTTAATATGCTAATGATCTAATTATACATTTATTTAGGTTTTATTTTATTTTCATTTTTACAAATCCTCCGCTCAAGGTTTTGAATTTTCAGAAAAAAATTAAACAATTTTTTTCTTTCCGATGTCAAATTTGAGTCGGGATCGAGATTTCAAATTTACGAACTCGCACTTCCGGCTTTACGATGAAACGGCGGGTAAATAAAGCTAGATCTGAGAAGATAGCTTGGTTTAGTGTAAAATTCATCGATAAGAGTGCCATTCAAAACGTTTCACCCGTTCAAAGGACAAATAAAATGCTGACGACTTTGTTGCACAATGACATGCTGGTGAGATAATTAAAGTATGTATTCGTTTCAAAAGTAACTGTCTGTAAATTATTTTCCTCCCCCAGGTTTTAAACTGCTCGTGGTAGCTATTGCATATTGCCAGCGACTTTGTTTAGGTCTCTGTTATAGCTTACAGTCTAAGCATCATTTTTCAGAAAAGGATTGCCTATGCATCAGATGTAATGAATAAAACTATAGGAGAAGTTAAGTCCATTTGAGGAAGAAATAAACAATAACCTGAAGAAATAAAAAAAAAAAAATTCAACTATTAAAAGGCAAGAATATACAAATATATACAGGCATGTAGTATCATTTGTTTCAGCCAGAAAAATAATTTTACACTTAATTGAAAAAATTTTCACCCTACTCCCCAATCAGGTCCAGCACAATCTCTTGATTAAGCTATATAGCTTTAAAAAGCTATATAGCTTTATTAAGCTATTCAAAATAGCTTGATAAAGCTATTTATATGCTATTTTTCACAAAAACGTTTTTTGAAAGAATTAAACAAAAAGTCGCAAATATTTAACTATTCATATATGTACTATGGACTATCAAAAATACAACCTAAATCATAGAAAGTTCTAACATTGCTGCTGTTGAATACTAAAGCAAAATATGAATTTCCATTTTTGAGTAACTGTGTATGCGGTGGGGCGTGGGTAAGTATGATTGCTTCTCGTTGTGCTGAACTGTTACTAATCAATTATCCTGTTGGCCATAACTGGTCTCCTTTATAATTTCATTCAAGAAATAACTGTGTGGTCACTCATCAATAGCCCCAAAACTTTTAAAACTTTGAGTACAAAGTCTCTCAAGGAGACGCAATTTGGTGAGTGATTTTTACATGCATTGTATTCAGAAGAGTACAAAGTTTAATATTTCCACTGCACCAAGGTGCGACTTTTTGTACATGTTGAAAAAATAACACATTTGAGAAAAAAGTCTGAGAAAATAGCTTAATCAAGCTATTCTGAATAGCGTAATAAAGCTATATAGCTAAATCAAGCTATATAGCTTAATCAAGAGATTGTGCCGGACCTGCCAATACTCCATGTCTGTTTTACGAATAAAAAAAATATTATAATTTTTGGGATCAAGTGAATTTTAGAACAATGTCTACACATTCACCTAACACATATTAAAAAAATGAAGATATATTGAAAGACTTTTAAAGAATTGATTTTTAAAAATATATTTTGATCAACATCACAAAATTTATATAACTGGCCCAAACTGGCAGATGATGAAATAAGCAATAAAATGTTCTACTTTCCATTTGTAAGCATTATGTGTCCAGTAGTAAGGAGCCTCCCAAGTGAAAATTTTTTCAAACAAATCACTTACAAATTGCCTACAAATTGCTTTAAAATCACTTAAAAGTGATTTGTTTCAGTGATTTGTAAGCAATTCATTTAACAAATCATGCTTAAATCACTTTCTACCTATATGATGACTATGATTTGCTTACAATTTGTTATGAAAGGGTGATTTGCTTGTGATTTCTTTCCCATTTCAGACAATTTCTGAGTGATTTGTTAAACTTAGGAAATTGTTACAGTGATTTCTTCATGATTTGTTGAACTTAGCTGTTCTTCAAGGTGATTTGAAAATGATTTCTGGAACTTAGTCTTTCTTCAAAGTGATTTGAAGACGATTTGTTAACTTAGTCTTTCTTCTGGATGATTTGTAAATGATTTGTTGAACACATGGTCCTTCTGCAGAGTGATTTGAGAGTGATTTACTTCACAACTTCCGCCTGGCTTGCTGATTGGTCAGTATTAGAAACTCTACCGCCAATTTTCATTTATCAGATTTGAATTGAAATGAAAGGAGCTAGATAAATTGTGCTGTTCTAGATTCATACCTCTTTTCTTTTGTTGAAACTGATGTTTTTTCCATAGCCATGCAAAATATAGTTTTAAGGTATGTATAACTGTTTTATGCTATCATTTCCTCCTTATAGATTCAGTTAATATTTTATATGTTTACATGCAATTTATTGTTCTTCAGAGGACCAACAACAAAGTCGGTAGCAATTAATGTTTAAAACAAAATCTATGTAAAGCTATGAGCTTCAGCAAAGTACTGGCTTTTTCAAAGTGTCTACACAAATATTTATTTCAGATAAGAAAATTAACATTTACCAACTTCTAAAAGTCAACAATTATATGCTTATAGCATATTCTGAATTTTGAGCCAAGTAGTCATGTGTGTATATCTAAACTACATGATGCCATCTTAATTAGAACACATCCTCGTAAAATTTATATTTTAAAATACTCTTGCCAAAAGTATTTCTGTTAATATACAACAAATATGCATGCATGTGTGTTTCAAATAGTTGAGGGATGGTTACATGAGGATCATGCACACAC